GAAGATTACGGCGAAAATCCCGGAACAGATCAAATCAAGGGCGATTGTTTAGGCTAATCATGGGATTTACTTTCGTAATTGGAATTGTACCATAGATAGGATTCCTCTACTATATAAAGAGGGTTCTAATCATTTTGTAGACATCTTACATTCACGCATATCAAAGCAATACAATATTCTCTCTTTAGTTTACAATCTCTTGTTCATCAGCTTTTCATATTTTTTACTATTCTTGCACCAACCCGTTCGAGGGCATCCGAGCTCGAGGGTTGGTTTACGTTGTAACTCTGGTTTGCTTTATCTTTTTGTCAATTTCCATTACTAATCTTTACATTTATCAATTGGTATTAAAATTACGTGTCCTGAAAACCATATTATAAATTTAATTGTTATCCAATTTTTAGGATAAACAAGAAGGAAATCTAAAAACTGATAAATGACCTTTTTTTTATTACAATATCAAGTCTTTTAAAAGTAAATCCAATTTATCAAAAGGATTAGATTTTTAGTCGATTGGCAATATACTTCTTGAATAATTCCACTAAATTTGATAAGCGCTGGTACAGCTGTATTAAATATTAAGCAAGCTTCTACTAATAATCCAACCCCTTTGCCATGGAAAGAAACTTTCCCTCCCTCTCTCTTGGAACAGCTGCGAACTGATTGAGACTGTTCCAAAAGAGTCAACACCTATAGTTTAAGCCAATATGAAAATGCAACCAAAAAATGACGTACAGCTTGCATGTATGTTACTGTTAATATGACTAATAGGCCAGCAAGTTAATAATGTAATTGTAATGCTTTTAACACCAAAACGAGCACATTGATAACAAAATTAGCCTATTTTCTTTTCTATAATTTGTAGTGGATGGGGGTAGTCCATCAATAGTGGGGGTGAGAAATGAAAAAAAAAAAAATTGACCTTTCGGAATCCTTAGGGTAGGATTGCAAGTTGCAACTTTCTAAATTGCTTTGCCGTGCCGACCCCATCACGAATTTAGACATATTTAAATCAAAGTGTTCTTTTTATTTACTTGCCTACTATTATGAGAAAATCTCACTTTATATTCTTTAATCCAAACTATTTATCATTTAGTACCTAAACTCAAATGATTTACTTTTTCTATTCATACGGTGTAAACTATTTAACCGCCTACCCAAACCCCTTTCCCTTTTTAATTTCTCTAAACAAGCAGAGTCACACACCCCAAACCTTCCTTTCCCCTTTCAAAAAACACCAGCTTGGTATTTTTAGTGGATGATGAAAATTCAGTATAAACCCATGCATTTACCCAAAAACTTTTATAGAATTTTCTATATAAATTTGAAAAGACAAGTTTTCATAATATTGTACATGAGTTTCACTCCAAAATTCTCTTTCCATATTAGTATTTTTTGTTGTTGTATTTTTTGTATTTCAGAACTCATGTGTTGTTGTGGTTGTATATTAAGTTTCCCATATCTGTTATTACTGCATATTGTTGCAGTATATTGTATATTAGTATATAGTATATTATTATAGTATACAATATATTGTAATGGTATATCGTAATAATATACAATATACTGCAACAATATGCAGTAATACTATACAATATACTATAATAGTATACTTCGGCTCCTATATGTTGAATCAACTAGGTGTTGTTGTGCAAAGCTAAAGTCATGGTTATAAATCATTTTTTAATTTTTTAAATTTTTCCAACTAGTTCCTTGCAAATGTTTTCTTAAATGAATATTTTGGTGGAGTTCCATGAAAATAATATTCATCGTATAAGAAGTAGATGTCGGAAAGCATAAAATAGTAATATACCTATTTGGTATATTTATATGTTGTTTTAGTATACTATTGTGACAATTATTTTACAATAACACTAAAGACTAATATGCCATTTTATTATACTAATATATCTGTCACGACCCTAAAACGGACACGGTCGTGATGGCGCCTATCGTAAAACTAGGCCAGCCGACACAAACCCCAAACCAACCAGAAGTTCATAACAAGTCATTTAAACTCATTAATTAGCTAAAAATTCCATAATATAAGTTAAAACAGACAATGCGGAAATATAACACAGCCCGACACCGGGTGTCACCAGTCATGAGCAACTACATCTCGTCTAGGAGTAAGAAAAGTCAACATAGTCTGGAAGAAATACTAAAACAAGGTTAAACAAGATAGGAAGAAGAAGCACTGGGCTGCGAACGCCAAGCAGCTACCTAGTCAACTCTGAGGATCCGCTGGAAAGCAAATCAGCACTCACTATCGCGATCCGAGGCTCCTGGATCTGCACACAAGATGCGGGGAGTAATATGAGTACGCCAACTCAGTAAGTACTAAAAGTAAAAGCAGCTGAGCAGTAAGAAAATACGTAAATCACGTCATAACGCTACAGCAAACAGTATGAGTCCAGAACAATGCAGTAAAATAAATAAACTCGTAAAAAGACAGCTCAGTTCAGTAAAACCTTTTAAAACATTTTTCAATAGTTTCAAACTAGTGATGAAAACAGTGAGTAAAAGGATAGAAACGTAAATAGCCCCTTGGGCAAAAACAAGTACCATAAACCACCCCTCGGGCATAATATCAACAGAACCAGCCCTCGGGCTACCTCACAATCACTCGTATCAGCCCCTCGGGCAACAACATGAAACAACAACAGCCCCTCGGGCAATATCACATCACACACATTGGGTACCCACGCTCACTGAGGGTGTACAGACTCCGGAGGGGCTCCTACAGCCCAAGCGCTAACATAAGCCATCTCGTGGCATAACAAATCAGGCCCTCGGCCTCACATATATCACAAATCAGCAACACCTGCTGCGGCGTGCAGCCCGATCCCATGATATCCTCACAACACAGGCCCACGGCCTCACTCAGTCAGAATCTCTCAAGCCCCTCGGGCAACAATAAAACATGATGCTCAGCCCCAATATATCATTTAAAATATTAAAACGGAGTAAATACGGTTGAGTTATGAAAAACAGTAGAATACAGCATGACTGAGTACAAATATAAAGTCAAACAGTGAGGAATAATAGTAAAAAGCCCTTAAGGGTCCAAAACAGTTGGCACGAGGTCCAAATATGGCATTCAGCCCAAAACATGGTAATATTTTCTAAAACACGATGATATCAAATAGTTTTCAATCAAATACGCGACTTAACACTCATACGGGACGGACTAAGTCACAATCCCCAACGGTGCACGACCCCACGCTCGTCATCTAGCGTGTGCATCACCTCAAAATAGCACAACGATGTGGAATCCGGGGTTTCAAACCCTCAGGACAACATTTACAATCATTACTTACCTCAATCCGGTCCAAACTCTAGCCCGCGATGCCTTGGCCTCTCGAATCGGCCTCAACACGCGTCGAATCTATCCAAAATCAGAGTCATAACATCAAAATAGGCTAAAGGAACAAAAGCCCACGCAAAATATCCAAATTTACTCAAAAATCCCGAAATTGGCCAAACCCGGCCCCCAGGCCCACGTCTCAAAATCCATTAAAAGTCACACCAATAGAATTCTCACGAGTTCGTACATATCAAATATACCAAAATCCGACCACAAACGACCCCTCAAATCCTCAAATCAAAGTCTTAAGTTTCAAGCCCTAAATCCCCAATTTTAACCACTAATTTCCATAAATTTCAAGTCTAATCAGTAAGAAAATGCCATAGGATCGAGTTTTATGTTCAACAATCTTACCTCAATGAAGTTCCCTTGAATTCCCTCTTAAAAAATCTCCCAAAAAGCTCCAAAATCGACTCAAAAATGGTGAAGAAAAGCTGAAATCGCGAAGGAAACCTTATATAGGTTCTGGCCCAGGGATTCCGCACCTGCGGCCCAAATCTCACTCCTGCGGACCGCACCTGCGGTCAAGACCACCGCATCTGCGGTTCTTCGTTAAATCACCCAGGGCCGCATCTGCGTCCAGGAACCGCACCTGCGGTCCCGCAGGTGCGCCCAATGAACCGCATCTGCGGCCAATCTCCAACTGACACAAATCCGCTTCTATGGCCTCCTCCCCGCATCTGCGGCGTCGCCCCTGCGGCCCCCAATCCGCAGGTGCGGAAACAACAGAAGCAGAAAATCTGCAGCACACTCCAAAATCCAAACTCTCCGTCAACCATCCAAATCCATCCCGAGGCCCTCAGGACCTCAACCAAACACGCCAACAAGTCACATAACACTATTCAAACTGGTACCAACCCTCGGAACACTTAAAACACCATCGAAACATCACCCTTGGATTCAAGCCTAAGGATTCCAAAAACTTCTGAATTCCGCTTTTGATCAAAAAGACTACCAAACCTCGTCCGAATGACCTGAAATTTTGCACACACGTCCCAAATGACACAACGAACCTACTCCAGTTTCCAGAATTCCATTCCGATCCCTACATCAAAATCTCCGCTACCAACCGGAAAATGCCAAAATTCCAATTTCGCCAATTCAAGCCTAAATCTACCCCGGACCTCCAAATCACATTCCAATCACGCTCCTAAGTCCCAAGTCACCTCCCGAAGCTATCCAAATCATAAAAACCAAATTCCGAGATCGTTTGCTCACAAGTCAACTTACGGTTGACTTTTCCAACTAAAAGGCCAACATAAGAGACTAAGTGTCTCATTACTCTACCAAACCATTCCGAACCCGAACCAACCAACCCAATACCACATAATACCGTTGAACAAGACATAAAGAAGCAGAAATGGGGGAAAACGGAGCGGTAACTCATGACCGGCCGGATCGTAACAATATCATTTTATTATAATCTATATATATATTAAAGCAAAAAAGTTTGCCTTCTCATTTAGCCAAGTGGCATGTTATTAAAAAGCCAAGCGGCATCCTATTAACATGACATTTGGCAACTTATTTCAACATAATTTTATCGCCTTTTTTCTAGAAAATTTTTATTTTCATTACTTAATATGTTTTCAACTAAATAAATAAAAAAAATACTAAAATTTGCAGAAGCACCACGTTTTCAACAAACGTATCGTCTTCATATTAAAGACAAGCTTCTTATCTCTCTCTTTCTGAAAATGTTCCCAATCCCCACCAATGTTATATCACTTTGTCATGGAAGATGAAAAGAAACTCAGCAACAACCAACAAGATCTGTTATACAAAATCATAAACGGGTAACACCTCCTCAGATCGGAATGTTTATTATCTAAAATTGTGGGATTTCTACTTGAAAAAGATTCACAATTTCTCAGCAAATATTACATTTTATCATCTCCAACCAAAATCCAATTCGAGGTATGTTTGAGCAGATGACTTCCTCCTTAATTTTAGATAGAAACCCTAAATTAGTTGCGTAGAATTCAATTTTCTATTTGCCCTTACATTTTATGGGCTAAATCACACATTTTCCGACTATATTTATGGGAATTTCTTTTTTCATAAAGTTAATGCCCCTAAAACACGTATTTTGTTTCTTATTTATAGCAAGTAAAAAGATTATGTGAATCTATATTATATACTTTACATATATATAGCAACTGAATTTTTTTGAATTTTTCGGCTCTTTTTTATGGAAATTTCTTTTTCATAATGTTAATGCCCCTAAACACACGTATTTTGTTTCTTATTTATAGCAAGTAAAAAGATTATGCGAATATATATTATATACTTTACATATATATTGTAACTGAATTTTTGAATTTAATTACTACTTAGGGTTTGTCTTCAGTATATATATAGCCGCACCAAGCATATACTTTAGTAAAAACAATCCTTTGATCAAATTTTCTCTAAGGCAAAATATGACGTCAAACTTTGACTATGTCAGCGATATATCAAGTAACAAGATGACTTGAAATTTGATGGTACGAATAGTGAGATTGTGGCACGTTCAGACCGCGATAAACCAGACAACACCGTCTCCCTTGAATTAATTATTCAAGACGAAAAGGTGCATTCTTTTATAGATTTATTTTTCCCTTAATTTGACATAATATCCATCTTCTGATTTGCACTATAGAATTCATTAGGTTATGCGTGTATTTAATCAACTGCAATTTTAGTTTTTATGGTCCAGATGGAGACACCTCGAATTGTGAATGAAGCTAACTCTTCATCTGCAATTTTGGTAGAAAAGTTTTTTGGTATACTTAAAATCGTTTGAAGTTTGTTCTAAAGAACATTTTTCATGTGCAAGAACATATTTGTAGATCATTTTTCATGTCTAAGATTATTGGTTTTGGACATCATGTTTTAATGCAATATAATGGAATTTTCACAGCTTATGCTCCTTGGCATTTGTATTGATATTCCAATAATCAAATTTGCTTGATACATTGCTGCAACTTTAGTTCTTATTTTCAAGAAGGACAAATTTGGATTGTTGCGAATGTGGTGAATCTGCAAGCTGAAAAAGAATGGTCATATTTGGGGTGCAAGAGATGCTCGAAGAAGGTTGATAAAATTGGAAGTAAATTTCGCTGCAACAAATGTGATCGCCTTGATAGTTCCGCCACTCATAGGTTTGATAAGCTTCTCTATTTACTTAAAAAAAATTAAAAAATTAAGTTTCAATTTCTTATTCTAAACGTGTCTTTCGGGTACAAGCTTCAAGTGCAAGTAATGGATCGCAGTGGCTTTATATCTTTGTTGCTTTAGGATCGTGAAGCAACAAGCCTCATTGGGAAGTCTGTTAATGAGTTAAATGAAAGTTCAATAGAGGTATGTTTTTTTATTTTAATTGTTAGTATATTATTTCTATTAAGGCAAATATGGTAAATTTGCAAAATTGTAGTAAAAATTAACTCTGAACCTCCAATACACCTTTATATTTATTAGAACTCACCATTTGTTATATCACTGAAAAGGAAGAGCTCTATTATTTTTTTGATACCATTCCTTTTGCCATTTTTGGCAGCAACAATCGCGTGTAGACTAATGATATTGTTACTATAAAATTAACTTGGATAATGAAACAAAATAAGAAGCATAGCATAAAACGACATAATGCAGTCTACCAAAATGAAAAGTAGGCTATTGATTTAAGTGATGGTGTAGTAGATGCACTTATTATTTTAATTCTTTTTGTGTTTTCGCACTTCTAACACTAATCCGGTCTTAGACTTCTGGTGCTGTTGAGGAGTATTCTTATCCAGTGGAGTTGTATGACATTCTTGACAAAAAAGTCATGTTTAAAAGTGACTATTAAGAGCTCCAACATTAAAGTGCATGCGGAAGTTTATAATGTTGTTAAAATCGGCGATGACGATAACCTTATACAGCAATATAGTCATTCTCCACAAGCAGATACATTCACTGTATGTGATCGTTACTCAAATACTTCATAACATACCAATTTTCCCTTTGATTTATAATCGATTATCAAGTTTAAATTAATTATGTTATTATTTTCTTAATAGACCCTGATTTTAAGTGTGAATAACATATGATGCAGACACAACTTTCAAGGTGAATAATTCAAACTTTGCCTTTGTAGCTTCTCATCTACAATATGGTTTTAATAGTTTATTTTTCCTTTGTAGGATTAAATGGCTGATAATGAGATGACTTCTCCTGCAAAGACCCCTGCCAAAAGAAGTAGAGAAGAGGATGGATCATTTATAGTAGAGGTTGTGATGATCTTGCACAATTTTCAAGTAACAAGGTTAAAAGAGTGATTAACAACAACAACAACAACCCAATAAAATTTCACTAATGGTGTCTGGGGAGGATAGTGTGTACGCAGACCTTACCCTGACCTCGATGGAATAGAGAGCCTGTTTCCGAAAGACCCTCGGCAACTCCCACGATTAAACAGGAGAAAAATCCATGAATGACTGCATTTGCTTCATTTTAAATGACATTGTTTGTATACTTGCATTAACAAGTACTTTGGTATAACTTGAAGTACTTTCATTTGTATTTTAATTTGGTTTCTACCATTTAGAATCATGTTTTAATATATGAAATTAGTTGACTCTTTGTGATATGAACTTCATTTATGTAAGAAGTGCAACTGCATATATTTTGAAATATTGTTTTAATGTCGCATGTGAGCGTTTACACTATTATATCATCAAAGAATGATGAGAAGGAACTTATGAATGTTATATGTGAGTTAAGTGAATGAATCAAGTGCTGAATAAGTCTTTGTATAGTTAGGTTTTTGTATCTTCTTGTGTTTGTATGACTTCAAACTTCTGATATATATTTTTTGTATGAGACATTAAAGTCCAATCAAATGGGACAACATCCCCAGTATAGTAAAATGGGAAAAAGGTTCCTAAAGTGTAGCCTTTATGTATGAGATATTGAAGTCCAATCGTGATGTACTTTGTTTGAATCGGATGAACATCTCGTTAATCCCTATAGATACTCCATACACTTTGGACGGGGGTAAAATCTGAAAGGCTTGCTCTAGCTCCTCCAGTAGCAACGTGTATATTTCCATTCAAAATTGTGTCTAATACTCTTGGTTAGATTATCAGGACTCGGTTAGGGAAAAATGGTTGTATTGATATACTTTTCCCATTATATAAAGATGCCCCAAATACTTCCCATTATCTGCTTAGTGGAATATTATGTCGGGATTCTGAATGTGCTATTGTACAAGCCCCTCATTTTGATACTGGCTTGAAAAAGTTCTTTCTTGATGGTGTTTTGCTATTTGATTTTTTAAGAGGGAATAAGACTTAAAGTTGATGGTCGGTAATGCTTCAAAAGTATTCTCCGCGCATCGCGCGGGTTTTAATACTAGTATATAATTAGGATCCTTTGTGCTAGAAATATTTACAATAAAGAAAAAAATACAAGGAAAGAGAAAAAGAAGAGAAAACAAGTATAATGTATAAGTTGTTCTAATAATTGTTTTAAAGAAGAAGAAAAGATAAAATTAAAGAAAAATAGGATATTATACTATCAGTTATATTAAAGAAGGTGAATAAATCTTTACTATATCAGTTATGCATAAAAAAGAAGAATAAAGAAAAGGAGCAAAAAAAGTGAATGCAATTAGATTATGTAGAAAAAAAAGTAAAAGCAAAAAAGAGCTAAATTAATTTAGAAAAGGAAGAAGAAATAAAGAAAATGAACAAAAGGAAGAAAAAAAAAGAGAAAAAATAAAATTAAAAAAAGAGCCAAAATTGAGTATGGAATCAGATTATTTGAAAATAATAAAAAAGAACAGAAAAGGGAAAAAGGAGAAAAAGAAAAGGATAAAAAGTAGCCACTTACCCACAAAAGCTACAATGGGTAGGAAAAATAATTAGTTTAATGGATAGAAAAACAAAGGTCATTAGTTTGATTTTTGGGAAAAGTTATAATACTCCCTACTATTTTGTCAGTGTTGTGAAGAAGGAACTTCGTTCCTTCACATTCACGGGCCGCCTAAACAACGTAAATATTGCATGGGGCGCCTTATTTGGTTGCCCCCTTTTAACTTATACCCGTTTTATTTTTTTCGTTTGCATCCGTACCAATTTTTTTGTTAAAACCGTTTTAAAAAGACGATTTTGCCCTTCGTGACTATTGACAAAACTGTAGACTACAAGGCAAAACTTCAGCATGTTTTGGCATGAAGTTTTGCAAATAAACTAAATAACTTAAGCATGTTCGGTCTGAAGTTTTAGCAAATGAACTAAATAACTTAAGCATGTTTAGTCTGAAGTTTTAGCAAATGAACTAAATAACTTAAGCATGTTTAGTCTGAAGTTTTAGCAAATGAACTAAATAACTTAAGCATGATGAACTAAATAACTTAAGCATGTTTAGTCTGAAATTTTAGCAAATGAACTAAATAACTTCAGCATGCATTAGCAAAAACTCATTTGAAAACTACATACTGCAAGACAAAAACTTAACCATGTTTAATCTGAAGTTTTCACAAATGAACTAAATAACTTCAGCATGTTTAAACTGAAGTTTTAGCAAACGAACTAAATAACTTCAGCATGCATTAGCAAAAACTCATTAGAAAATTACATACTGCAAGACAAAAACTTAAGCATGTTTAGTCTGAAGTTTTTGCAAATGAACTAAATAACTTCAGCATGTGTTAAACTAAAGTTATAGCAAATGAACTAAATAACTTCAGCACTCGTGACAAAACTGTAGACTGCAGGATAAATAACTTCAGCATGCATTAGCATTAGGGGTGTTCATAAAAACCCGAAAAACCGAACCAAACCGAAAATCAGACCAAACCGACCAAAAATTTGATTTGGTTTTGGTTTTGAATTTTAAAAACCGATCAAATTTGATTTGGTTTTGGTTTTAATCAAAAAATAACAGAAAAAACCGAACCAAACCGACTATAGGAGTAGCTATTTCAAATTTATTATTACACCTATATATATGTATATTTTTATACAAAGTTTTAAAAATTTTATGGTGAATGTTAATTGTTTGCACTTTTAGTACAGATCTTTACCTTTATATTCTAGTTTGATTGGTAGTTTTCTTTTGTTAAGTGTAAGAATCCATTTCATGTTAAAAAATATATATATTTTTAGTTGAGTCCTTAAATTATTCATCACTATTTGATTCAATTATCATTAATATATTTTAGTAAATAATAGATTTCTCAAAGGGCAATTGATTTGATAGTGTTACGTTGAAAATGTGGACGCCGGAATATGTGTTTGGTAGTGTATGTCTTATATTTAAAAAAAAAAACCAACAAATAACCGAAAAAACCGAAAAACCGACAAAATCTAACATAAACCGAATCGAGAAAAAACCGACTTAATTGGTTTGGTTTGGTTCTAATATTTAAAAAACTGACTTACTTGGTTTAGTTTCTTTTTAGGAAAAAATCGATCCAAATCGAACCATGAACACCCTAATTAGCATGAAGTGTTAGCTTCAATGTAAAACAACTTCATGCTATATTAGCATGAAGTTTTAACTTCAACATGAAACAACTTCATGCTACATTAGCATGAAGTTTCTGGTTTTTTGATAAAGCTGCTGAGAGGAGAAGAGGAGATCTTTTTTTATGAATGAGGTTGCAGATCAGGCGAATTATCAGGGGTGTAAGTATCATATTATTACGGATTTTTTGTCAAATGGCTACCAAATCAATAATTTTTAAAAATAGGGTATTAAAAGGTGACACAAATATAGGATACGGCTGCAAATCCCCCTAAACAACATAGGCTCATCTTACAGGCCCAACTCATAACTACTGCACATGTTTTCCCAGTTTGAGACAAATATAATATTGGCTGCTCGACTGAAATTAATTATATTTTCTAGCTAAAAAGTATATAACAATATATATAATAGTATATATATATATAAAATAAATATATTTTATCGGCTATTTTTTTAAAATGGCTAAAAATATACCTTTGTCGTCGGTTTTCAACTTCATTCATGTGGTTGTATAGGTTGAGAATTCGAAACCATAAAATTAAGTCTGATCTTGGATACCAAGAGATGTTTTGTGTCTTTGTGAGCTGTCGCTGCTCGTGGGGATTAGGCTTTCGATTGCCAATTTGTTTGGGCTACTATTATTAAGTTATTTTTTTTTTTTTTGTAAAATTGCACGGGGCGTCCTATTTGGTCACCCCATTTAACCTATACCCATATTTTTAAAATTCTCTAACCTATACCCTAATTTTGACAACTTTAGACGCCTCCTCTTCTTCCTCCTAACCTGTACGCTCCTCTCTTCCCCCACTTTTTTTCCTCCTCTTCTTCTTCTTTCATGGCCAAATAGGCCTGCCATATTGAATGCACGAAGAAGATGCAGGCCTTTCTTCTTTTCCTCTTCTTCTTCTTCCTAACATATTGAATGGTTATTTCATGGTCAAATAGGCATGCCTCTTCTACGTATATTCACATCAAAATATTCAAATAGTCCCACCTCAATCCCTTAAAGTCGCTAAGCGCAAACAATATCTGCAAATGCTAATGTGTATCTCCTCTTTTGAGGACAACTGCTGTCAGTAACCATAAATTTATAGTGAAGTCCACGGTGATTACCCGAGAACTTGTACAAAGCAACAAGTGAAGCTATACAACTAATACAGTTTTTGTGCTTACGAGCACAGTTTGTATAATACATCAAGAATGCCGCAAAGCATCCCAGTAGGCATTGAACTGAAGTTTGCCCTTGGTATGAACTGAAGTTTGCCTGATTGCCTTTGCAAGTCAGGCCAAACTTCAGGCAAAAATATTTGAAGTTTTGCTTTGATAAGGCTACACTTCAGGCAAAAAATTCCGAAGTTCAAACTTCAGATATATACAATTGAACTGAAGTTTGCCCTTGCACTATGAACCAAAGTTTGCGTGATTGCCTTTGCAAGTCAGGCCAAACTTCAGGCAAAAATATCTGAAGTTTTGCTTTGATAAGGCTACACTTCAGGCAAAAAATTCTGAAGTTCAAACTTCAGACATACACAGTTGAACTGAAGTTTATCCTTGCACTATGAACTGAAGTTTGCGTGATTGCCTTCGCAAGTCAGTCCAAACTTCAGGCAAGAATATCTGAAGTTTTGCTTTGATAAGGCTACACTTCAGGCAAAAAATTGTGAAGTTCAAACTTCAGACATAAATTTTTGCTACTTCAGGCCCGTATGTCTGAAGTTATCCGAAAAGTGGGTACGCTTGCAATTTTTTTTGCAAAGCGGGTATAAGTTAAAGGTGACCCAAAAACTGGGTATAGATGCAAATGCCCCTATTTTTTTTTGTTAAAACGCAGCTAATAATTATTAACAACGGTATATATGTCAAAATTTCCACAATTTCCCATGTGTTTAGCACGGAGCTGTGGCCCAAAATGCTATCTTAGGGATGGCAATGAGACAGTGGAGGTGCGGAGCGATGCGGATTTAAAGTTATGCGGGGGAGCGGGTACAAGTACGGGGCGGGTTAAAATAATTATTATAAAAATTAATATGGTGCGGGTTGCGGGTCTATGCAGGTTAATGCGGGTTTAAGCCAAGTTTTATGCGGTTAAAATTGA